ATCTAGCCCAGACTGGGAGCTTTGATTTTAGCCCGAGGTCCCTCAAACCTGCAAGTAGGGGCATAAGTCACCTGGAACTACTTCCTGCCACGAGCTATCCAGAGCAGCAGCAATGCCAGCTCCTTGGAGGGCCCAGAGCTGGGGCTGGGAGGCCGAGGAGGGAGGCAGGCTTTGAAGGAATGGGGGCTCTGGACAGAGGACAGGGCTGACTGCTCTGGGGCATCGAGACCTCCAGAGCACAGATGTGACCCGGACATCCCACTTCTTGTGTTGCCTTTGATAGCCTGATAATTTCCCAGTGCTGGGACTCTGTAGAGGTTGAGACATGCTGGGAAGGTGGCAAGAGGTCTGTTCTATAGAAGCATTCATGGGTATTTTGCACTGTGGCTTGGATGTGGCCACCAGCAGCCAAGAGAGGACCCCCAGGGCAGGCAAGGCACCCAGCCTGCCTGGGGCCTGCCTCTTAGCACCTCTGCCCCTCAGCAGAGCCAGTCCAAGGCTGGCACAGGCTGTTCTTGCAGACTCTGGCCTCTGTGGGCCTGGTGCTCTGTCCCCTTCTCACCGCTTGGAGTCACAGCCAGCCCTCCAGCCAAGGGACCTGCCAGTGCCACTGGCAGGTTTGAGTTAGAGCAGGCGGAGTCAGTCATAGCTGCCTTGGTGACTGAGAAGGGTTCCTTGCAAAAGTCCTATGAACCCCAGAACTGCAGAGGAGGGTGGCTGCTCACATGCCCTGCCTGCAGTCTTGTTAAGAGCTGTCTGGCTCCTGCAGGAAAGGGGGGTTTACTGTACAGATGCAGAGCAGCCCAGGGACTCCAGGGCCGGGAGAGCAAGGGCAGCCTGGCCCCGGGGTCGTTGCTCCCTGGGGCCCGTGAGCCCTCTCCTCGCTGTCCCATGGGCGTCTGCCCCATCCTGTAGTCGTGCTTGCGTGGGGTGCTCTTGGTGCCACAGGTCCTTGGGCTTCCTGGAGCCAGCCTTGCGTTCCACCTCTTGGACTCTGGTTCCCACACTCCAGGGCCTGCTTTCATCTGCTTGGAGGGCAGAGCCCTGTGGGCCATGCACAGCAGCTACTTGCAGCGTTGCCCAGCCTGAGCCCTCCTCGTTTGGGTGAGTGGGGGCTCAGAAGAAGGGAGGGCATCTGAGGTGTGGATCCCTGGTGGGACCTTATCACTTAGAGTGGGGCCCGAAGCACCAGCAGACCGGGGCCAGCCTCCCCATCCCCACCAGCATCTGCTTTAGCCACTCCCCTGCTTCCACTTCAGAGAAGCCCCCTCCCGGCTTCCCACTGGGAACCTCTTCTCACAGAACAGTCTGGACTTTAAAGAGTCTCAGGGCACCTCCCATTGTCCTGATCTCATCTCAGTCTGCCTTTCAGCAGGTCATCTCATTGCCCTCATTTCTGAATACAGGATGCGGGGTCCTCACTGGAGCCCCATGTTCTGGCCTCTGAGGTCCACTGAGAGCATCAGTGCGTGGACAGTGGGGGCTTATGTCCTCGGGGCTGAGGCTGACTGGCCTGAACTGAGTGCCATGTGGGTGGAAGATGCACACCCTCGGGACTGTGGTCCTAGACTGGGCATGCCACTGTGCCCCGTTCCCAGGGTGGGGGGCTGCTGTGGGCCCTCGGGAGACCTGGTCCTCTGGCTCCTAGCGGCAGAGGTGTGGGGTGGCGGCAGACCTGGCTGTGTGCCGTGTTTTGCTGAGGGCATCCCTGAGCGTACACAGTAGGTCTGCCTGAGGTCACTCTTACAGTGTGTATTTTGAGTATTTTCAGCTGTGTGTGCACTGTGGGGATGTAGCCCGGCACCGCGTGTGCAGCTCATACTTGGTGGGCTGTGTAATGTGCAGAGGGGCTGCCAAGGGCAGCGGAGGTGTGGATTTTTTTCCAGCATGATCACATGAATCCTACCACCACCCTCCCCTGCCACTGGGCCTGTGCTGTCCCACCCCATGGCCAGGAAGCTGCTGGAGCCGCTGGGATGGAAGGAGGACAAGAGCCAGAGCTTTGTCCCAGTTGGACAGGGTCCACTGCTTTGGTCCCTGGATTCTCGAGGACAGTAAGGTCGGGGCTGGGTCCCCAGGTCATCTTCAGGCCCATGCTGGCCAGGCCTGGGGAGGTGGGGCTGGAGTTTGGATGCCTTGCCTGTCCAGGGTATCCCTTAAGGGGAGGGGGAGTTCTGGACCAGGGAAGGTGGGGCAGGGTCTCCAGGCCTCTTGCTGTGAGGGCCCACATTCTTCTAGCTCCAAGGAGCAAGAAGGCTCCCAAAGCCTGACCCTCTCCAGCCAGTCCCCTCTAGCCTTTCCTCAGCACAGCTGGGAGACCTCACCAGGTTCGCCCTCCCACCTGGCCCTGAGCTGAGGCCCAAGACCCTAAGTCCCTGATTCCAATTTTATGAGTTCATTCAGCTTCCAGTACCATGGGTGGCTCAACAGAAATTTATTTTCCCATATTGTGGAAATTGGAAGTGCCAGATAAGGTTTCAGCAGGCTGGTTTGCTCTGCGGCCTCTCTCCTTGGCTTGTAGACAGACGCCTGTCTTCCTCCTGTGTCTTCCTGCGGCCTGCCCGCTGCTTGTGTCCACTTGTGAGGACACAAGTCATTTGGGACTAGGGCCCACCCTAGTAATTTCATCTTAATCACCTCTTTAAAAACTCCGTCTCCAAATACTGTCACATTTTGAGGTTCTGGGGGTTAGAACTTCAACATATGAATTTGGTTGGTGATTGGGGGGATAGATTCAGCTCAGCTCATAATGCCAATAGATGCTCAGTGCCTGGAATCAAAGCTGAGTTCTCTAGGGGTCCCGGCCAGAGGGCATCCAGGTAGCATCCTGTTGGGCTACCCCTGCCCACTCCTGCTGTGGGGCCACTGGCTAGGCAGCAGTCTGAGGCCCCTCCCGTGCAGGGAAATAGCTGCATCTTGAGGGAGGCTCATTATGTATTCAGCTCAGCCATGAGCTGAGGAAACCGGGGTTCTCAGGGACCCTGGGGGTGGCTCCCCTGTTGCTTAGCTGAGGGGCACTCAGTTGCCACGGTGACCTCCGTCTGCACAGTCAAACACATGGCCCTGCCACTTCTGGCTGGAGGGCTCCCCACCTCCCTTCAGAGTTCACACTGAGTGTTGAGTCCCTTGGTGACAAAAACATGGAAACAGTTGCCATGGCAGCCATTCTTTAGAGCCTTCAGACAGAAGTGCAAAGTTCAGGATGCCCAGAACAGCTGAAATGAAAATATGGGAAAATCTGCCACTTCCCTCACCCCAGAAGGGTGAGTCGGATGGCATTCGATGCTCCCTGGGCCCAGCCATGCTTGCCTCTCCCCATCACCTTGGGCAAGTGTGGGCACAGGAGGGGAGCAGGGAGGGCCCTGGGGGTGAAGGCAGCCGGGTGGCCCCTGGAGACCTTGAGAGAGGCTGGCCTGCATGAGCAGCCAGGCCGAGCTGAAGGAGGGCCCAAGGCCTGGAGCTGTAAGCGGGCAGGTGGCAACTGCTCAGCATTACCTGGGGACATGTCCTTGTGGCTGCTGGAGCCACCCAGCCTGCCCCTGGCTTGGTTTCTTCCTCCCTAATCTGGAGAGACAAGCTGCTGCTCCCTTCTCAGCCACCAGGATAATCCCCAGCCCAGTCCAGGGGTGAAGGGTATGGGGTGTGGTGGGTAGGCTCTGCAAGGGGAAGGCACCCCGTGCTGACCGTGGGGATGGGGAAGATGGCCGCATTTCTCTTGTGGAGGTTCGAGCGGCAGCGACCTCTCCTGGTGTCCCCTGGAATGATTTTGTGTCTTATGCTGGCTCCCGTGGGCTCTGGTGACCAGCCAAAGGGTTCTGAAGTCAGAGTTGTTTGGCATTCCAGTATGTGGCACACACACACACACACACACACACACACACACACACACACACACACGCATGATTTGTAGCTTAAAAGGCTCTGACAAATCCTGCAGTGAGGAACCCTCTTGACTTTAACCGAGCATTTTCACAAACATATTTGAGCTAGTTCCCCCTTTTTCTTTAAAAATATTTCATCCCATTCTTAAAATACTTCTTAATATCCTGGAGAAATAACGTCTGTTAACATTTATGAGGGCACCGATTCTCTGTTCCCTGGATCAGCAGCATCAGCCCCACTGGGCATCAGTTGTCAGAGTCCCTGGGGCCCAGCAGTGGGTGTCTGACAAACTCTCCAGGGGATCCTGCTGCCCTTTTCCGTTTCAGAGCTCCTGTGGGCAGGGAAGTGCAGAGGGGACTGGGGTGGAAGGGGAATGGCCTGGGGAATTGGAGGTCAGAGGGAGGGAGGGAGCCTGGCAGGGCTGGGAGGTGGGCGGTGAAGGACCCTGGACTCTGGAAGAGGAGCTGTGACCACCCTGAGGGCAGGTTCAGGGCACAATGCACATGGGCACTAAGATCCCTTTATGGTTTTCTGAGATTGGGTCAAGGGCAAGGTTGTGTGTCTGGAGGTGTAGAGGCTTGATATTAAGTGATGGGGCCTTTGGAAATGCCTGGGGATGGGGAAAATGATCATGTTCCTCTTCAGGGAACCACCTGAGGATGTACCCACATATCCTGTGAGGACTGGCCAGATGCTGTCCTATAGGGCAGGTGCCGGGGGCAGATAGACTCTGTCCAGAGTGCTGGGGGTGTGGGGAGGGGGCGGAGTGATCAATTCCTATAGGCTTCCTTTGTCCTTTGTGGACCCTAGGAGGGTGCTTGTCCCCAAAAGCAGTACTGAGTGGCATCTTCAAAAAGGCAGGAGGTAAGGCTTCTGGAGCAGTGGCCCTGGCCCAGGTATCAGCAGGTGGAGTTAAAGAATCAGCTGTGCCATCACCCACCCATCCGCTGTGCAGTCACCTCCCAGCTGTGGGTCTCCTCTTCTCCATCAAACAGGCTGCCGCCGCCTCGGCCTCGGGGGTGGGGGCAGCCAGGGCTGACCTGGCCCCGGGAGCTGGGGTGCAGGCAGCACTCTGCGGCCCGTGGCCCACACGTCTGTCTGCCTGTGTTTCCTTGCAGCCGTCCAAATCCACATCCTGAAAGCGGACAAGGCGGGGGACTGGTGGAAGTTCACGGTGAACATCATCTCCGTGTACAAGCAGGGCGCGAGCCGCATCCGCCGCGGTGACCAGAGCCTGTGGATCCGCTCGCGGGACATCGCCTGCAAGTGCCCCAAAATCAAGCCTCTCAAGAAGTATTTGCTGCTGGGCCACGCTGAGGACTCGCCCGACCAGAGCGGCATCGTGGCGGACAAGAGCAGCCTGGTGATCCAGTGGCGGGACACGTGGGCGCGGCGGCTGCGCAAGTTCCAGCAGCGCGAGAAGAAGGGCAAGTGCAAGAAGGCCTAGCGCGGAGGCCACGGCGCGCGGGGCCGTCGGGCGGGGCGCGGGACCCGGCCGAGCGCGAGCGCGCGACCCGCCACCGCTGCAGCCTGGACTTGGCCCCGCAGGGCTTTCCCAGGTGGGGGGCGGGGGCGGGGCCGCGGCCTGCGCGGGGGCGGGGCCCTCGGCGGCCCCTCCCCTGCGCTGCCCCGGTCCCGCCCCCCCGCGCGTCCCGGGCGGGAGCGGCGCGCCGGGCAGGGTGCGCAGCAGGCCAGGCCCTGGAGAAATGAGGGCGAGACTTAAGCTACCTCACGGGCACCTTCCAGAGCAGCGACCGCGGCCCTAGGGCCAGGCGGGGTTGCCGCGCCGGGGGGCGGGCAGCCTGACCTGGGGCCGAGGCTCTGCCCGGAAACGCGCCGGTGGGGCCGCGCCCGCGGCTCGTGGACGGTCAGGAGGGGGCCGTGAGGGGACCTGAATTCTCAGGCCCGCAGCCTGGGCGGGGGGCTGAGCGGGCCGGTCAAACCCCCCCCCCCCAAACAAAAGACTGACGGAAATCCCCGCCCTTTCCCCGCCCCTCCTTTGCGCCTCCCCACCGGCCCTGGCTCTGACACCCGGGGCCCAGGTGAAGGGGCCTGGCGGGGTTCGGGGGAACTTGGAAGCGGCCTCTGCAGACCGCGTTCCCCGTGCGGCCTGTGGTCTCCACTGCCACCTGCCGAGTTGTTGGTTCTCGGTAGGGTCTTGGGGTGAGGCAGAGGGGGGTACCATCTGCGGGGCCACAGGAGCCTAATGCCCCGCGGGTGCCTGCCCCTGCCCGGATCCCAGCCCGTGCCGAGGGCAGTGCGCCCCAGGACTCCCCAGAGAAGCCCAAGCCAGGTGGTCACTGCCCCATGCTGGAGCTGCCCGCCGGTGGACGCACTGCGAAGGTGAAACCTCCCAGAGAGTTCTCTTTGTGGAAACTTGGAGCCAGTCTCTTTATGACATTTTCCAGGGGAGGGGGAAGGGATACTGGCTGGGATTACAGTACTGACGCCATTTGGGTAATGACATCAGCTCCCACAAGGCCCCTCAACAGTATCAACAGCTGGGAAGGGCCTGGACGGACATGGAATGCAGTTGCAAAGGCAGTTGGGCCTGGCTTGGCGAAGGGGCCTGCCGGAGTGGGCAGAGGTCTGCTGGCTTAGCAAGGTGCCAGAGCACCTGAGCCTTGGGCAGGCAGGGGCAGGGACGACCAGGTTCCCCGGGGTCAGGGAAGCCAGGACCACTTCCTGTTGCTGCCATCACCCCTGTGTCCCCAATGGAAGGGACAGAGGCTGCTGGGCCAGGAAAGGCTTCTGCAGCCACCCCTGTCCTGAGGCTGGCTCGGTCTAATTGGGCAGCCCCTCTCCTGCTCCTCTCCGGTTGCCCCCCTTGGGGAGGCCTCCCATACCCCATCGTGTGGCCAGGCCCCCTTCCCAAAGCTCCCTAGAGATGCTGTCCCCAGGCAGGCCGCTGTAGTAGGGCTGGTTGCCTCACACAGGGCCCATCCCTGGGCCCTGGGACCATGGGCCACCCAAGCTCTCCACACTGCCCTGGGGCCCACATCCTCACACCTGGCACTCTGAATAGAGGCCTGGCTCCCCTTTCGGTCAGGAATTGGCTTCATTTTCCCTGATGGAGTTTGGCCGCTCACAAGGGTCATATCAAGTGTGAACTTGGCCTCTAATGGTCTGGCTTCCTTCTGCCTTCTCCTCTTCAGCCAGCATCATGGCTGCCATTTACTGAGCACCTGCTCTGTGCCAGGCACTTTACCCACATAATCTTGTATACCCTCATGACCAGAGGCTCACCCCCACTTTCACCAGCGAGGAAACAAACACATAGGCCCATAGGCCCACAGGCACCAGGCAAGTCAGTGTTCAGGCTCCACAGGCAGGCTGTTTTGCCCAGCACCCACACCACCCCTTGCTGCATGCTGGCTCTGCACCACCCACTCAGTTGCTGCAGTGGGCTGTGAGGGGTGCGCCTGGGGGGCCAGTGAGATGCTGGCCCTGGTTTACTGCCTCTAGCCTGGGGAGTGGAAGGGGGTGAGTGGGCACATCTGCAGAGGTAGCAGCAAGAACGGTGGGTGAGGCAGGGGTAAACGCGCCACGGGGCAGCCCCTGGAAGCCCCAGTCCAAGAAGGTAGGCCGTGGCTGATCCTGAGTCACAGTAGTAGGATGTCTGACTGTCTGGGTGTGTTTGGAGGGATTTCAGGACCGAACTGCCCCGGGAAGGGGTATTTGTCTTTCCTGATTCCAGGCTCAGGGTTGGGAGCCTAGGAACCTCTGCCCAAGCAGCCAGTCCTCTGAGGCCCAGCATGGTGTGTTTAAGTGCCGTTAGCATCTTGGAGGCCTCTGCACGGTGCTGGCCCATAGTCCTTGAGCAGTAGCACACTGCTAGGATGGTTGTCTGTTTCTTGTTACACCAGCTTGGCTTCCTTACCTGCTGGGAAGGGCTGTGCAGCACTGCCACCTCCCATTCTGGGTCTGTCTTGCCCCATCCAGTGAGGAGCTGTCATCGGTGGCCTCTGAGGTCCCACAGCTCTGGCGCCAGCTGCCTGTCAAACATGTCTCTTGCTTTAAGTTCATCCAGTCTCCAGCCTCGCCCTCCTGCTCAGCATCCCAAGGGCCTGGCCCCTGGGGAATGTGTCTGGGCAGCTGGGTCAGCATGAGGACACTGTTGGGGTATCAGTCGTCACAGGCTGCATCCCTGTCTCACGGGCCCAGCCAGAACCCAGGCCAGCACTCCTCTGATTCAGCCACTGACTTCAGCACTGAGGACCCACCCTTGGGAAAGCACCCCTCTCCCACCCCGCCCCCTCCCCAGGAAGAGATGGAACTCAGAACTGAGGTGCACCCATTTGTACAGTTAGGAAGGGATGTAAAATGGAACTAGATTTTGATTCTGAAGAGTGTATTAACCAGAGTCCTGATTTGTAGGTGTTTGAAGAAAAACATACCAGATTACTCACTTTTAAGAAAAGCCACCAGATTCCCCAGTTGTCCTTTTTCTTACCTGCTGGGTGGTCTGGAGCCCCTGACAGCAGAGTGCCTGCTTCAGGGACACACGGTAATGCCGAAGAGTTTGGGGTGGCGGGAAGGGGGAGGGTGTGGCCTGGACTTGCCTGCAGGCTGTGGCTTCTGTCTTGAGAAAGCAGGGTAGGAAGCAGTGTCCTCAGGGGCCAGCAGATGGGAGGGAAGGACCCCTGTGGTCCCAGCCAGGGAGGCGGGGAGCTGCCCCTAGGCCCCTAGCAACCTCCTGGAACTCTCCCTCTGCTGCAGCATGCACGAAAGGGTACAGACCAACTCGGCCTTGCTCCTGGTTGAAATGAGAAGGAAAGCAAGGAGACCCTGAGGCATTGGGAAATGGTCCCTCTGGGAAATGAGAAATGTTAGGATCTCAACATGTAAGGGAAGCCTCCACTCCCATCCCTGCCCCCAGAGACCGGGGAGTGGCTGAACATGACTCACTGGCACAGCTACTGGGCCACGGTTCCTGGCCACAGCCATGCCAGACCCTAGGGGTGTCAGTGTGCACTTGTGGGGCCTCACGTCTTGTCAAAACCAAGCCAACCCCGTTCTTGTGTCATGGGACACTTCTCCCCACCCCTGCTCCCAAATGCACACCCCCCTGCCCCCCAGCTCCCTCCTGCATTTTGGAGTTCTGTTCACTCAGAATTTGTAAATGTTTAGTTGTGACCATGACATACTGTTTGGGTCAGTGTTCCTTTCCAATGCATACTAATATATTATGGTTATTATATATGAATATATTTAATGACATGGAAAAAGTTGTGGATTTTCTTTTTTTTTTTTAAGTTTTTTTTTGTTGTTAGAGTTGTAATGGACCCAGATGAAAGTTGTAATGTGGGCTCCACATGATAGAACTAAATTCAGCTATCAATTAAATAAACTCTGTACACTGTTCCCTTGTCTCCTAGTCTTTATTGGTGGCCTGAGCTTGTAGGGAGAGCGAAGGGTGTCTTCAGACAACTTAAGGAAAATGGAGCTTTAAGCAAGACAAAGCCCTAACTACCCGAAAAAAGCCAGCAAAGAGCAATTTTGCTTGAAAATTCCTAGGGTTTGCTCTCTGAATACAATTTTGAGCTAAGTCTCCCAAATTCCCCAAGAAACCATCCCTGGGATCCATCTTTGCCACTCCCTGGGGCTCCAGGCCAGGGAGACTCCAGGGGACGGAGAAGTGGTCTTGTGTCCTTTCGCCTGCCCCAAATCCGACAGCAGGGCAGAGCACACCTTTGAACTCCCTGCTGTGATTCAGAGCCTGCAAGTGGTTTTTGCCTTTCACACAGCCAGTTTCTGCTATCCAAAGCCAAGCAGAGGCTCACCAAGGAAGACAACAGGGTTAGTGAAACTCAAGAATATTTTTCAAGCCCTGCTAACAGCTTTGTGTGGTGCAGGGGCCGCCAGTGCCAGCACCACGCAGCCCCCAGGAGCTGAGCTCACTGGGTTTTCTGAGAGGCTATATTTAAACCTCCAAATGGGTGTGATTTCTTTATTAAATAAACAATTCAGTCATTTGGAACATGTGTTGCCATGCAAAGTGGAGTTGATCATCACCGGGAAGGTGTAATTTCTGCACCCAGCTGTTTCAAAGACAAGTCTTTAATGACAGACCTGCCTTGGCCCCTAGAAGGCATGGAAAGCCCTTTTCTTGCTGCATGGAGAGCTGACAGAGATGCCCTTAGTAGCGTCTCAGGAAGACACAGGGTCAGCTTCCTGAAAGGGTCCCAGTCACAGGAACAGCTCCTGTGCTGTTGGAACCAGGGGTCAAAGCAAGGACAGGCGAGGTCTCAGGGGGATGTCCTTGACAGAATGGCAGTGCCCGATACTGAGTGGGCAGGGACAGGGTACAGGTCTCAGCTGGCCATCAGGCCAAGGAGAAAGTAAGCCTTTCTGTGGTCTCCAGCTCTCAAGACCTGGACCAGTGGCAGGACTTAAGACCTGCTGAGAGGTGTGTGTGGCACGTGGAAGTCTGAGTCTTGGCTTCACTCATTCAAGGTCCAGCTTCTGTGACACAGCTTTTTGCTATCCTTCATAAAACTGTCAGTGTCCAAGTGTGTTGTCCCTCCTTTGGGACTCAGCCACAGGCAAGCCCCGACTGGCGGCTGCAGCCCCAGCCCTGAAGGAAGCACACAGCTGATCAGAGGCAGCATTAGGATGGGCACTATAAGCAGCCTTGAAGAGAAGCCACTGACATCTGCCAGACTCACTGCAGGAAACAAGCTGCCCGTGGTGACCGAAAAGCCCATTTTAGAGACCGGAATGCTGATGCACACGAAACTGAGTGACTCGGTCCAACGCAGTCACAGTCCAGTCAGAAGCCCAGACCCCCGCTGGGCGAGGGTGCTTCCAGGGCCCGCTCCCACCCTCAAAGCCCTCCCTCCATCTCCCCTGCCAGAGAACAGTGTCCTGGATGGGCACTGCCCACTCATGGCACAGGTGCCCCTCGGTTTCAGGCTTTGTTGAATAGACATATCTTTCCATGTTCTTTTAACACATAAAGACATATAAGAACTATGCCAAGAAAAACTGGGAATGAAGGGTTGAATAGCCAGAGAGAAACAGTGTATGGATGGGTGAGCTCATTGCTTATCACACTGGAGATTCAACAGAACAGCAAGTCATTTCTGGAAAGAGGTAAATGCTCTTTGTTATTGGCATATCATCGGGAGGAGGCCTGAAATTCAATGAAGCAATTAGCGGAAAGATGAGTCTTGGCTCACTTTTTAAAATAAGTGGGGGGAAAAAACCATTTAACTTTGCAGGGCTAGCTTAGAAAACCCCACAGATAAAAGAGAATTTCTGGTCTATGCAATAAGCTCTCAGCATAACCCTGAAGCTGACGAAGCGGGGAGCCGGGGTTCTAAGGAAGCAGAGGCCCGCCTTGCCCCCCAGGAAGGGGAAGCGCCCCGCAGGCCAGCCAGCAGGGCCCTGTGGCTCGCTGGGAGAGAGCAGTGGCTCATGAGGCAGGGGCAGTCAGGAGGTCAGCAGCGGGTGGGGGGGAGGGGGTGGAAGCAGGGCCCCATAGCTCTGCAGGGGCACAGGGGGCTTGAAAGGGGCAGAAGGGCCTGGGCTAATGAAAAAAGTAAGGTTAGTTACATTTATTAATAATAAGGAAGTTTTGATGGAACAAAAGTACCTGTGGTAAGCAGGTGTCTGCATTTCTTTGTATGGTATCCAGACCTAAAATGCTTATAATTAATAATCAGTTGTTAAACAACACTTACACTGTTATTTTAATAAAGTTCATTTTCACTGAAAAAGCACACGAGGTGATCGGTGCTGAGGCCTCTCTCCGTTATGCGTGTGGTGAGGTCTTGCTGCTCACACAACCGACTCACAGTGCCGTGGGCCCCCTGGGATGCCGGCCCAACACCCACCTGCAAGGGAGAAAACCAGGCCCTGCCGCAAGCTGGGAAGCGCCACCTTCATGTCAGCCACCTTATTTTCAGGGGGCTGTCTGGGGGCAACACCCCCAGAGGGGCTCATACCCGCCCCTGGGTGCGCCCTGCCACCTGCTTCCCTCTGCCCCATGGCTCAGGGTGGCGGGTGCTCGGCAGGAGACACCCAGCTGAGGCAGCTACGGAAGGGCGCAGCCTTCCTGCCCGGCACCGCCCTGCCCTCCGGGCCTGGCACTGCCCGGCTCTGACAGGGTCTGCACGGTCTGACCTGGCCAGCTTTTCACCCCCCTCCCCTGCCCACCGGCCCAGAGAAGTGAAGTCACTTGTCCAAGTCACCCGGCTCGCAGTGCTGGGGCCGGGCCCAGAGCCCACTCAGGCGAAAGAACAGAAGCTGCTGTGTGCAGACATCGGCCCAGTGTGTGTGGCTTGAAAAGGCCTTTCCGTGTGACTGAGCCAGGGTGCTGTGGCTCTGATTCAAAGATGCCCCACAAGTTGCCGGGGCTCCGTGCTAAGCAAGTCAAGAGGAGGTGAGAAAGTCAAACAGACCTTCAGTGCTGCCTCCCAGGAGCCCCAAAGTGGGAGGGTTCCAAGGAGATGCTGTTGATGCACACTGGGGGTTTGCATGACCAGACTGAGAGGTGCGGCACTGCAGGTTCCCGGTTTTCCATCAGGTGATCCTTTGGCAACCGCCCCGCCTCCGCCCGGACAAGGCAGCACATGCTGAGCGCCACTGGCCTCCGGTCCAGCATGGCCGTCTCCTTCGGGAGCACACCCACTTCAGACCCGCTGCTTCCCCTGCCTCCCCTTCGCCTCCCACCCAGGCGATGACAGCGCGGCTCCTGCTCCCGGCTGCCTCTGCTCAGCTCTTCGCCACCTCCCATCTAAAAATGGCCCAGCCCCTCTGCTCCCCTGCCCCCAGGGCCTCACCGTCCACAGCAGAGCCTGGCTCTGCACGGAATGGCAGCCCCTCAGGGCAGCAGGGATTAGGGTCCAGCTTTTTCTCTGAACAACAGTCTGCTCGGCGGCACTAGGTGGAAAGCATGTGATAGAAACCCTAAGCTCTGGACGTGGAGACCATCTGACCCAATGGGCTTAGACTTGGGTTAGAGGAGGAATCCTTCTTCAGCCAAGCCCAGCAGTGTGCTCTGGACATGTGCTAACTCACCCAATCCTCCCAGTGGCCCTGAGGCAGGAAATAGTCTGCTCTTGTTTTCTCGTTTTCTCGAGGAGGAGATGTCATAGAAAGGGCCCCCTGCCCATGGTCTGGTCAGAGCCGGTAAGGGGCCTGGTTATCACTGGGGCCACCCACCACCTGGCCCAGGCTCTCTGCCTTCTGAGCAATTCCTGGTGCTCTCCTGGCTGAGCAGGTGGCTAGTCCCAACCAGTGAGTGCTGAGCACAGGCAACAGGGTCACTCCCAGCAGAACACTCCCCTGAAGGTGTCAGGGTTTCCAGAGTCCCCTGCTCCGCTGCAGAGCCCACTGTGGGTGTCCCACCTGCAGTGGCCTGGGTTCCAGTGAGGAGATGCCTCTAAGCCCCTAGCTGACCTGCGACTGACACCACAGGAGCAGGACAGCAGCATTTGGGACAGAGCTAGGCTGCTCAGATGTGGGTGGCTGTGCCCGTGGCACCGTCCTGCTTGTGTGAGCCAATACAGGGCAGAGTCCACATGTGAGTGAGGCTGGGCTGGCTCCAGGGCTAGACCACCTCTCGTGGAAGGGAAGCATGTGTCCTGGCCACATGCACACCCCAGATGGAAGCAGGACTGCTCAGGCAGAGCAGGGACAGGAAGGAACTGCAGTGACCTGACACCACTAGAGAACAGCTGCAGAACAGGGCACCTGCCCTTTGCAGAAACTGACGACATACCAAGCCCAGGAAGCTACAGGTCCCTTGGAGGGCGGGCTGCATATCTGGACCCCAGGGCTTCCCAGCACCGCAGTCTCAGGTCTCCAGGTTCTAGGAAGTCACACTGCACCGGGCCGCACCATGACTGTCCTCCTGTGTCCATCCAGTCGCCAGTGTCTTAGAAACCCCCAGGATGCCCTGCACACAGGCCTGCTCTCTCCTTTTCCTCAGTGAGACCTTGTGCTTTGGAAGCTGTGTCCCTTTGCTATGGAGGCCAAAAGCAAAGTCAGCTGGCCTCCTGCTTTCTATGCAGATGGGATGAGGGCACCCTCAACTCAGGCCTCAGTCATGCACCTTTGCAGGCCCACCCTGTTGGTCCACCTTCCTCACACAGACAGGCACGTGCACACTCACACGCAGGGTGGTCAGAGCCAGGTTAGGGGCTGATAAAGGCACTGTTCTCCTGACCTCCTCATCTCACATTTCTTTGAACCATGAACAGTACTGTCCAGCCTGATCACTTCCATCCTATCCACTCTATTCAACAGACTTGGGTCTGGCTGCTTATAAAGATGTGTCAGTCTTGGAAAATGTGTTTACTGTCACTGAGGAAATGAAATCAAGAATGTGTTTCTAGGTCTGGAGGCATTTCCCAAAGCAGAATCCAGAAACATTTCTGAGCAATGGCAGCAAGCCCCAGTACGAGTGGTGACTTGGGCAGGGTGGTGGGGTGGCAATGACACGCTCAGACATGTGCCTGGGCGGCCGCCTCTTCCACACAGCCCTCCTGTCACTCCTTGTTCCCCGCTGGGATGTGCGTGTCCTTGGCTGTTCACTCGTTGTGTGCTATGTGGGCACATGACTTCCCTAAGCAGAGCAGATGTCCGAGGTTACAAACTGCCTATTAATTCCCCACGATGCCCAGCACACTGCAGAAAGGCTGGAATCCACTGGCAGCCATGGGTCCGTGTTGGGCTGGCACCAAAATGACCATGGTACAAACCAGAAGGGCCGCTCTGGGGCCATGACCCTGGCAGCACTCCAGAGCTGCCGCACTAACTGCCTTTACTGAAGCAACACACAGCAAGAGCTCAGGGCTTTGGGGGGGATTTATTACAGCAGCTTTCATGTGCTGAAAGGGTGCTGAGCTTCCTCCATCTGACTGGCGGGTGTCACGGCTGTTGGTCCCTTTATGGCCACTAGCGGGTGGGCCAGACGGCAACAACCACGATGGCCACGAGCAGCAGTAAGATCACCATTATCATCCCTGAAAAACAGAAGCACAAAAGGCCCTTCAGTGAGTCACTGAGCATCACACATCCATTGCCTTCAGAAAGGACGGTGGATGCGTTTCTCCAGTTGCCTCTTCCCTCCAAGCCTTCAGACTGTGCCCCAGGGTGTGGGGGGCTGTCTACAGCCTCGAGGCCTTACTGCTGTACAACTCTGGCTTTGCAGGCTGTTGAGTGCAGGGCTCCAGAATCCCCAGCTCACAATCTCGAGAGTGCCAGCAAGTGACAGCACTCCTGACAGCAAGGCTGGGGGCACCTGGGCGAGGAAGGGCGCGCACACGCGCGCTTAGCCCCCAGCTCTAGCGTCTGTGCGCACGTTGGCCATTTGCTCTTTCCCTTGATGATGCATCATGAAGCAAAGGCCCTTAGTGTTTACACAGAAACAACATTTGGGAGTTCACCTTCTCTGCTGTCCACAGGGCTCTGCCTTTTTTCTTCTTGAGCCCAAGATACTTATATCGCCCACGTGTAAAAACAGCCAAGAGGGACTTTTTCTTCGTATATATTTTTAAGTTGCTATTTTCTAGCTTCGTTTTGTGAAACTTTTGACTAGGGAACACAAAGGAGAGCATCGGCCCCCCAGTCAGCCTGTCCCTGCATCCAGCTCTCCCGCCAACCTGCCCCATCTTCTCAGCTCATGCCTCTGGGTTTATGACTGCCCATCCCTTCAGCTGGTGACCATGAGGCAGGCCCAGGAGGACACAGTCCCTTCTCTCGCCCAGCATGTGGTGAGGGCTCACCACTGCCAGCACAGTCCTGGGGTCAAGGGACAGGGCAGAGCTACCACAACGTAAGCACTCAATAACCATGTGCTTCTTGAAGGATCCCTGAGCTACTGAGGCCCCAAGAGGCAAGTGAGGCACAGACGAGGTACCAGGCAAAAATGCTCTATGAAGTAACAGGTGGGACTGCCCACCTGAGACTGAGGAGAAGTTTCCAGAAAGGTCAGGCTTGTCAGTTCAACTTCTAATTCTCTTCTAGGAAGCCACCAACACATTACTGATCTTTTCAATGAGATAACCACTGGCCACATCTGGTTATTTAAATTTCAATTAACTAAAAGCCAAAAATTGTTTCTCCATTACACTAACCATATGTCAAGTGCTCAAGACCACATGTGGCCAATGACAGTAAAGAACATTTCCATCACCATAGAAAGTTCTACTGGGCAAAACTGACATACATCTGGAGTTTTGATAATTTTATTTACTGCTGCATCCCAGCTTCCACGACAGTGTGTGGAGTGGAGACGCCATACATATTTGGGGAATAAACAGATAAATGGTTGCACAATATGTGTTTAACACTCACTCAACACTTGGATAGTTTCCCACACTGGGAATTCTGCTTTCCCCTCTGCTTGAGCTGGTTTTGTTAGTTTACTGGGTAATTGCCCATTCTTTCCTGAGTGTTCAAGAGTACTGGCAAAAAACCGTTCATTATGTTCTCCTATACTTTGAATGCTATGCTGTATCTACATCCTTCTTTTTGTTTCTAACACCACTCCTTTGTGCAGTCATTTTCTTGACTAGCCTTGCCAAGTGCCTCTTTTTATTAACCTTTTCCAAGAACATGCCTTGACTTTGTTGACTATCTCTTGTCTGTTCTCTGTTTTATTAACTTCTGCATTTGTTCTTATTAATCTTACTAATCATAGACTTCCTTTGGATTCACTTTACTCTCTAACTTCTTGAATTGAAAGTTAACTCACCCATTTTCCGTCCTTCTAAATAGCACCCCTCAAAGCCTACAACTTTTGATAGGAAATGATTTCATTGTTAGTCTCTAAATTCTACATATTTTTTCTATTTCCAACCATTATATTTTTCCTTTGGCCCCGTAATTGTTTAGAAGTTTGTCTTAAAATTTTCAATTATATTGAAACATGCTTATCAAATCTTTTTAGAAGTCTCAGCTAACACATGCACTGTATTCTGATATGAAAATATCTGTGATTTCTATTGGTGACAAGTCACAAGTATTATTGATGGGTCTGTAGTTTATTGCCTACCTTCTTAATGGAAGAAAATGCAAAATCTCAATTAGAGGTAAGAAAAATAAGAAAATGCAATTTGATTCCCCCTCAAGTTCACAGAGACCTGGCATTCTGTCCACAGGTGCAAACGGTTCAATGTAGTTCAAGCAGTGTAAGTTTTAAACAACCCATGTCCATGCTTTTAAATATTGAGACAGGACTTAAAGATACAGGGGCCACCTTCCTCTTCATCTCCCTGTGACAGTGGGTGAGTTTTTTCTAATGCACCCTCCTTCTCCGATGATCCAATCCTTTGAGAGTACCCCCTTTTCAGGGAACTGAGATTCCCCCACCCCAACTCCACATGGACCCGAACTCAAGCCTTTACACTGGGGGGCAGCAAACCGTGGCCCTGGGCTCAAATTTGGCTTGTGGTCTGTTTTTACCATCAGCCAAGACTGGTTTTTATATTTTTAAAGGGTTGTCAAGAAAGAAAAAGAAGATGTGACACAGTGTCTGTGGTCTGCAAAGCCTCAGCTATTTACTGTCTGAGCTTTCCAGGATTCGGCCAATCCCTGCTCTGTCTCACCACGGCTGATAGTGGCCCAGCTGCGGCGCCGGTTCATTCATTTAGGTCCTGGTTTCCAGTTCTCTCTCCACTTCTTCATCTGGAGATTTCCTTTCCTCCTTGTAAATGCAGCTATGCATTAACATTTTAGGGGGGTGTAATATTTTATCTAGCATTTGGAGATGCTTGTTGTAAGGGGTGTGTGTGTGAATATTCTCTTGTCTCTCTCGTTGCCAGAACCAGAACAGATCTTTTCATTCATTTCTGACTCCAGAAACATCTTCAGGTTGATCAAAAGCTCCCCCTGGGCAGGAAGCCTGCTCCTTCCTGGATGGGGTGAAAGGTTTCTATTGTGCAATATCAGGAAAAAATCATGGAAATGGGGGAAGGAGACAGACTGAGGAGTGCTTGGGGGCAAGTGCTTAGCACCCCAGAGCACAGGTTTACCATAAAGACGAGGGGAGGGTGGAGTTCTGGAGAGGAGAGGAGGGATGATGAGCGGTGCGTCGGGAGGAAGGCCTGTGACTGACGCTCAGGCCAGGTCAGAGCCCGGGAGGCACTGCAGGCTGAGGAGTTCTTGTGCAGCAAGGGTTTGAGCTGGAGGATGAGATGGCCTGAAGGAGAGGCTGCTTGCAGCGACCTTGAATTTTCAAATCGGTGATTATGAGAAGAGCAGAGCAAGTGATAACAAGGAAATCAAGAACAATGACTGGTTGGGAAGAAGAAACCGCACATCTGGCTTTAGTTTACACACACATGGAGCTTACAGTCCCAGGGCAGAGGCCTCAAGGAATCAGCAGTCACCGCCTCTCCCACTAGGGCCACCGCAGTGGGCCGACGGCCACACTCTTTACCCAGTCCACACTCCAGACTGAGCCGCAACGTTAAGCAGATCAGGTTACTTCCGGGCTTCAAACTCTCAGGTGGCTTCGGCTGCATCTAAACCTGGACAGCCCTGCACCACCTGCCCTGCTGCCCCAGGACCCACGCTCTGTGCCCCCACTGTCGCCACCCCAGCCCCAGCTCCTCCAGGCTGCCCCGCTCCTTGCTGCCACCGGCCTCCGTGACCTGTCCGTCCCTCCAGGAGCGCCGTCCCTCTCAGCCTGTCCACTGCTACGCGGCCCCCTCCAACACCAGCACAGCACCCCTTCCTCAGGGCCTCCTGCTGGGCATGCCATTACTTGCATTCTCACTGTCACCTCTCTGGCTCCACAGCCCTTCTGAAGTCGTGACAAGATGGAGAGCCCTAGCTGCTCACTGTCTCCACCACAGGCACGTGAGTGTCTAGGACAGGGGCCATGCCTGCAGCTCGCCATCAACCTTCCAGCACCTCAAACAAGGCCCTGCATGCCAAGGGGCATAGCGTGGTCTTTATCTTAATGAGTAAAGATACTGAACATTTGGGAGGGACAGGAGGAGTCAACAAGAAAGACACAGGAAGAACTGTCAACAGAGAGAGAGAGAGAAGCTGAGAAAATGTGCCAAGGCAGCCAAGGAAACAGAAGATTCAAAAAGTGGTCAACAGCAATCTATGCATACTGCCCAGACACCAGAAGGACAGAGAAAAGCTCCTGGGCTTTGGAGACCTTTCTGGTACAGTTTGAGCAAAAGGCTGGGTGGGCCTTTGGAACTATGACTGATAACAGCAATGCCTCCTTAAGCTGTGATTATTCTATCAGAGGAACTGTGAATTGTACAAATCATGCCGTGGTGAAGCCATGACAGGGCACACAATACCTATAAAAAATGAAAATGCACTTCAGCTATTAATGCAGAGTGGCCTGGTGATATGTGGTCAACTGGGTTCTTGTCCAGAGATGAAAAGGGGGACTTCAGGGACCATGACAAATAAGACTTTTACATTTTAAACCTTTTCAGAGCAAACTGGGTCCTCTGGCTAGGAGACTTTCAGCAGGTGTACACGGAGGGTCAACTGAGGAAGTCATTTTAAGACAGCAAGTGACAGTGATAAGCAAAAGCCAAATGAAGCCTTTTGGATTCTTTTGGTCAAGGAGTAGGTGTTGACCTGCCCCGTCACCACAATCCTTCCTCTTTAACAAGAGTGGCTTTCTGAGAATGTGCTCACAGCTTGGGCCCCTCCCCTCAGCGGCGTCTCTGTCCTCTGAAGATGTTTCAGAAAGAGTGACCAAGGCCTTCCTAAAGCCAGGGAGAGCCGAGCCGCGCTGTACACGGACCACCGGCACACGCCAGGTCCTGTACTAAGCGCTACACATGACTCGCCTTGCCGAATCCGAACAGTGGGGTGCTTGGACTCCATTGTATACGTGAGGCGCTCAGGTTCCAGAGAGCGGACTCTTGTCCTTAAGGCCTGACCACTGGCAAGGGGAAGAGCTAGAATTGGCCCCCTGTCCATGCCCTGACCCCCTCTGTACCAGTAAGGCCTGTCTGGGGGGCTTCTGACTCCTAATAGAGTG